TAGAGTGGCGGTGGTTGGTGGAGGAGCGATGGGGACTCTTCGCTCAAGCGTGTCTAAAAATTGACACTCTAGGGATCGAACTCGTGCGGAAAATGTGTCTGTAGGTTCCCGATATTGTGCTCATTACGAGTCCCCACTCACATGCAGCGGCGATGATGATGAACTCGGGTTTGGATTGTGTGGACAATGAGGGCAGGATGTTGCCAGCTCTGGAGGGAACACAACCGAACAGTGTGGGATTCCGAGTTGTTCATAATGTAAGTCCAGGGGCCCATGCAGCGTTGAGGGATAGGGTATGATAAAAATGGAAAGGAAATGTTACTAACGTGATGACATTTATATATATGGGAAATTGGAAAATTCAAAATGAGTTTCTTCCGGGAACATTATAGGTTCCAGGATGATCACTTCCGTATGAGTAGAGATTATGTATCACAGCAGGATTACTCAATTTCAGGCTGAAGATTGCCTAAGTGCATTCGGTGGTACTACACCGGAGCTTGTGGTGGTAGCCTCAAAGGCGTGGCAGTTGGAAGATGCAGATGTCGTTAAGAAACACCTTTCTGGTTTGCTCAGTGATGGAGCGCCTGTGCTTAGTGTAAGGTTGCCTTTATTAGGCCGACTGAATGAAGTAGTTTTAGATTCAAAACGGCATTGGAGCTGTTGATGCGTTATCGGTCGTGAGCGAAAATATCTTCCAGGTGAGTGACGTATCTTACCGTTTCAAAGTGAGAGGAAAAGATACTCATAATCGATCAATTCGCCCAGGAAGATATCGGATGGTCATTGAACTTCGGATATTTGGGTTTGTTGTTTTTCAGCTTTTATTTCTATACGTGTGTTTCAGGCGGTTACCAACATTGGTTGCAACCCACCCCGGCCTGGCGTGTTGGAGGTCAACGTCTTACCTGGCATTGAGGCGTGGATGAAGGTGGGTTGGTCTTTGGTCATACTACAGCGTCACATTGATCGGCTGCGAAATGAATATCTCATGTGCTGAATTAACGACTGGGCCTAAGCGTATTTGAGAGTGCGAGAAGGTGTTTCTGGTGAGCTATATGTTACTGGGAAATCCTAATTGCATTATACAACCTACACACAACATCATCAAAGTTGGATTTGCTCTGGAAGTGCTGAAGTTGATTATAAGTAGTGGTAGAATCAATCAGATAGGCTACTGCGATGATCGTCCTCTACCGTATGAGTGGCCTTTATGGTTTATGTTAGCTTATCCCCCCGAAGAGTATCTCTGAGCACGCAGATGACAATCTCCCTCGATTACTATCAGCGTGTTTCAAGGACGCCCAGGTTCCCTGCAATGTGCCAGATGCTGTTGATGATGATGAAGCTCAGCAGATGGTAGGGCTATAACGAACTCGAGACTGGGGTATTAGGTTTTCTTGATGAAGAGGTGGAGCTCGCTTAGTCCTCGTCTACTGATCGGATCAATGGATTCGATATATTTTCCTTGGTAGAAAATTTTGCCGTAAAAAGTTTTCGATTTATGCGGGAATTTCGGCATATAGAGGAGTCGTTTGATATATTTGGTGGCCTCCTACGCGTAGTAGTTAAGTCAGTATAATTCTGCACGCATGCACAACTCGAAAGTGTCTGTTGTAGTTTGCTCGCTCCGCGATGATTTCGTTGTATTATCAGGTTTGGGACAAACTAATAGTAAATGTCGCTATTAACCCGGTGACTGCCATTTTTGGGGTTCTGAACGGCGAAATTTTGGATAATTCTCAACTGTAAGTGCTTTTGTTGAGGGAATTTCGGTAATTATTTTTGATGGTAGATTCTCCTTGGCATCTGCGGCACATGAGCCTAAAATGTTCACCCGAATCAACACAATGCACTAGCTCTA